TACACAGTGGACACTGACAGTTGTCCCTCAGCCAGGTGAACGGGTACAGACTGTGTCCTCCATCCTCCCACTCCACCTCCATCAGCCTGTCCTCATCCAGAGCCCGGACGTGCCTCACTGAGTGGCAAGCCAAAGAGACGGAAGCTGACCCCAGCGTATGCTGCCCACGAAGCTGCACCGATGACAGACAAGAGGGTAGTGGACCTGCAGCCTGTCCAGGTCTACGGCAAGCCCTCAGAGCTTGGCACGCCATGGCAGCGGTGCTCCTCCGCAGGGCAGGCAGGGCAAAACGTGAAAGTGTACTCATCCACATGTCTCTAGATCAGAAAGGGCCACCAACTCTGTAATTAATGAGAAAGAGATGCAGTAAAATTAAAAAATTGGATGATATAGAATCATGTATTTCAGTCTTCCAGTTGATGTGTTTTTAAAAACTAGGGCTGTATAATAAACCAAATGTATAAGTTATATCTACATCCTATTTAAAAAGCAAAATCATGGGCCTACACTTGTTTTTGAACAATGCCAAACTCCTTTGATACAGTTCAACATGAGCATGAGCTTTTTCAAGGGGCTGTGGGAATTGTGACTGATCATGTGCCAACCAGAGGCGTTTTCTAATCTTGGTCTGATGACTGTGTGTAGGTAAAACCAGGCCAAAAGCTGCAGTGCAAAACGGCAACATTATTTTAGGAAGCAAAATACAAAGTGTGCCGCACCTGTGTGCAGTTCTGCTGAGCTGGTTTCCCCGTGCCAGACACATTAGCAGCGTTCAATTATTTAACTAGGGCTGCAATTGAAAATTATTTTCATAGGTGATTAATCAGCAGAGTATTTTCTGGATGAACTGACAGATCATTTTGTCAATGAAAATGAAAAATTCCCATTCAGCCCAAAGTTATGTCATCAAATGTCTATTTTTGTGCAGCAAACAGCCTAAAACCAATTCAGTTTACTGGTATTTTAAGATAAGGAAAGCAGCAAATTGTCACATCTGAGAACCTGGACCCTTAAAAAGAGAAAGTATGAAGACAATGAATCAATACAGTCTGACAGAAAATGAGTCAATACAGCTCTCAAGAGTATACCAACAATAGCTCTTTGTTGTTATTTATGTTGTTGACTTGATTTAGTCGGTGTAACCATGTGTTTGTGTACTAAATCCAATCTCTGATCCACCTTCCTCTCTGTGGTAAATATGAGTGTTTGTTTGTTTGTTTGTTTGTTTGCTAACTCGAGTTCCTTTAAACTAACAACGGATCTCTCTAAGCTACCCCCTTTAAATAGCACACAACATACAGAACATTAAACACACGTCTGTAGATGAACTAGAAACAAAGAGTGTGTGAACCAAAGAGCTTGCCGTCCCGTTCACTTCCCGTTGTTCATGACAACAGTTTTAGCCGGTAGCTAACGCGGTTGTTAGCTGGCTAGTTAACGTAAACACCCCCCCTCCCTGTTTACCGACAGTTTCCATCCTTGTCTCGGTTAACAGAGAAGCGAACAGCGGTTTCTCTCACAGTGTCTCTACCGGTTTGCTTTTAAAGTTGTCTGTATTAATAAAAAGTGTTTGCCACTAACAGACGTTACCTGCAATGTTTTGCCGACGTTTCCCCCAACGAGCGTTTCCTCCGTCAACACAAGCCAGCTGTCATGTGTGTGTGTGTGTGTGTGTGTGTGTGAGAGAGAGAGGAAGTAGGTGAAAGGTTGACCGGGAGGCTGTACATGATGACATAATAACTGCAAGTGCATGAACCTCGCCCTACTTTTCAGGAGTGTTTTAATAAACAATGGTGATTGAAATAGAGATTTACTGTAAAGCTCACCCTGGGAGGAGGGCTTTTTTCTTTCTTCTGTTATTTGCTGTGTTGAAACAATTGAGGAGGGAGCAAGTTGTGAGTTAGAATTTAAACCACAAATTTATTGTCTCTGGGGGGCAAGTTAATGGTTTTGTGGGGTCAGAGCTCTAACAATTTATTTAACAACAGAGGACAGCATGCTCATAGAATACAATTAACTTTATTGTTCCAGAGAGGAAATTTGTCTTGGGCACAGAGCTGCAAGCTGTTGCTTCACAAAACCAAATGAGCGTACAGTGGTGTAGTGCAGGCTACTAAAGGCAAGTGTACCCACTTATTTTTCAGTAGGCATTGGTTATACCCACTGCTAAATCCCCTCTGCATCATTCAGAGGTGTCCTGATTGTTTTCCTAGGATGGCAAAGGCATGATATAATTGTCCACTTTTCATGAGTAGAAGGAATAAAGAATACCTCAAATTGCATAATCTTGATGTAGCTGTCTCACCAGTCTGATATTGATTAGTATTGATTGCACGATCTGTCACCTGTAACACCTGTGCTTACCCTTCTATTTCATGTAAAATTGCTGCTGTGAAAAAGGTCTATTGAGTCCTTGAATATCTGTAGCAAATGCAGTGTTCGCACCATATTGGATAAATGGTAGAGGAGGGAAAGATTCCCATGTTAACAACTGGCAACCATGCCCTTTATTGGACAGCACAAGACAGTTGTATGATTAGAACGTTAGCTGTGTGAGAGTTAAATATGCTGTGCATTAGCAATATAACACCAAATTCATTCAAAGTGGGTATAATTACACTGAACAACAAACTTGAGGCTGTTCTGGAGATTTTAGAAAAGTGCAACATTCACAGTAGTAATTAGGACTTGGATGTTTTGACGTTGAAGAAGAAGAAATTCATAATTACAAATATTCTAATGTGACTGCAAAATTGTATTTGGTTCACGGTAACAGATATTTCACTCTGAACCAAAAATGTTAACCTCACGGTGGCACAAGAGGTGACGTCAAGTCAAGTAGTCATCCTCTGGGGATCATGAATGTCAGTACAAAATGTTATGGCAATCCATCTAATAGTTAAGTAAGTAGTTAAGTAGTTAAGTTGACATATTTCAGTCTGGACAAAAGTGGTGGACGATGGTAAAGTTGGCACTTTAACATTTGGAGCCATGGTGTGGCTAGGACAATTATTTCTCTATGCCCTTAGTAATGCCTTTGCGTTCTTGTCCACAGCTGAGTGCACAAAAATTATTTTAGTATCTTGATTATCCAAACAATTGTTGCTTCCTGGCTCTAAAATGTGAGGATTTGCTGCTTTATTTTTTCATTTAAGACAGTAAATTGAAGATCTTTGGGTTTTGGACCAATAGTAACAAGAAATTTAAGGACACCATCTTGGACCATTAATCCATAATTAAAGTAATGTAAGTGATGAGTGTTTTCCGTGTTCAGTCATACCTCTTTCTACGTCCTTTGCAGGTTCAGGGAAGATGACTAGTAGTAGACAGTAGAAGTGTAGTACAGTGTTCAATCCAAGTGACACCTGCCAACACCTGAGTTCAGATTTTAAAAGCTTCATTTTGCAATCATTAACCCAGGATCACACACGCTCACAGAGTTTCAGACCCGAGATTCAAAGGGTAAGTTTATGATCAGTCACCTTTGCAACTGACATCAGTGCACACGTGTTATTTAATAACAACAACAGTAACACTAGTTAGTTGTAACGTATAGTGGACTTTGAGCTTTATAAAAATACAATACAGTATGTGCTGAAGATATATAGATATATGCAGTCAGAAAGTGGAAAGTTTCTCTGTGCTCATTGAAAATCAGATTTTTAAGGGGGCGGGGCTTACAAACATCATTTGTGACTTCACAAATAATATGGAAGTCAACCCTGGTCCAGTATGTAACTTATACACATCTGATGTAGAAACTTATAGCCACAAGTGAAGTACGAGACATCTTATGTCCAGTAGGAAAACTTCAGAAATGAACAGAATTTCCATGTACATAGATTCTGGGATTTTTAATTAGGTAGAAGTAGCAGTTTCCTTTTTAAGGATTTTAATGTGGAAATGATACTCAAAAAAACAACACACACATTATTGTTCCAACCAGGCATGTCATAATACATGCCTGGAGGGGCTCTTTAAATTTGCATAATAAATTCACTGAAGTGATTCATCTCAGATAATCCAAAGGTTAGGTTGAAGGGCGCAATAAAAGTACTAAATATAAATTACTCTATATTTCCTCTAAGGATAATAGTTTGAGTCTCATGGTAGCTGTATTGTTGATAAAATGCTACATAAATGTTTTTTTCCTACAGATGATGCCAAAAATCTGTTTACCTAAATGAGAAAACCAGGGATTTTCCCTCTAATGGAAACATACAGTGTAGGCTAAAGGTTTTTGGGGCTGTGTGTCCTTCATGTTGCCTCATTGTGAGTGTAATCAGTGGGTTCAAAGTATCTATTGACTGTGTGGAACCACAAGAGAAACTGTCCTACTGTACTTTGCAGTGTTACATAATTTACGTCAGTTGGCACTCCAACAAGTTGTGGATACTTGTGACATTTTAATTCCTTCCACTCAGAGCCTTAAAGTGTTCACTGAACCTTATTCACAACGTTAAAAGGCTCAAGTATTACAGAAAAAATGTTGTTTTCAGCAGACTGGAGCAGAATGCAGTTGTTTGTGAGGCCCACCGCACCACTCAAAACACCATCAACACAACTTCCTTACATCTCTGTTGCTCATAAATACCAACAACCAGCCTGTTCCTTCAAAGCACTCACGGGGGGGGCCTGTGTGTATAATTAACAGCAGACCTCAAACCTTGTAAAGCAAACATGGAGAGGAACTTTGTAATTTTAAAGCACGTGTCAATACAGTATGCAGTCCAAATGATTATAGCGCTACCGCCACATTGTGAGGCCTGCTAAATACAAAAGCCTCCTGGATGCAGCTCCATGGAATTCCCAGCAACATAAGGAATGGTTTACTCTCAATTATACATCACTAACTACTAGAAGAGACCAATAATAGCAGAAAGGATTTATGTTTTGACCCAAGTTGCAACTCTTGATCAAATCATAACACGTTTTCTGAACATTATCTCATGAAATGGATCATTTCTGTCATAAAAAAACATGTCCTTGCAACAACACTGTACTTCAAACACCAACTCTTTATTTGAGAAGACACAACACAATCCGTTAAGAATGTTGTCACACAGATTAACGTTCGACACTTAAGTCCATGAGTGCTGCCTGCAGTCTTAACCGTCAAAGTATTACGTCTCACCACATATCTTAATGGTGAACACGAATAGATATATGCTGCTCTATTTCAAAACTTTATATAAACAATGAATACATATTAGGGTGTTCTGTAATAAAGATATTGGCACTCACAGTATTTACTTACTTACTAATAATACACTGTACATTTTCCAAGATTATACTGCCTGTGCAAAAACAGCACAGTAAAGGCTTTGCATTTTAAACCATGTCACAACCTTTAGCACCCGGGACAGTGAAGAATTGTGCAAAGTGTGCTAGCCTATAAAGCAAAAAAAAAATAACAACAGATAGGTGTCCATATGTAAACATTCTTGATAATCCTAGAAACATTCGTGTCAGAGAAGAGCAACGATAGCATTGCTCTGGTTAGGAGCTTTCAACCAGGCTACTAGGCTACATGAGGTCCACCCTGTCAGCTGCTTCACTGCTCTATGAAGAGTTTTCCAAAACTAATTTATTCAACTTTTGGGGTCAAAATCAAACCAAACACAGCATTTACGTGAATCTGCTAAACCTCCCCAAAACTCACTCTTTATGCTATTTTTTTGGCTGATAGTGGACTGGATGAGTTTTGGAAAACCCTTCGTCTGACAACAGTATTCATCTTTTGAACGCTGATAGTTCTCACTTTCTCACTTTTTTAATAGGCTGACTCATATTGGAAGCCGTTGTTTTACACACACACACACACACACACACACACACACACACACACACACACACACACCTCAATGCACTGACCAAAAATGACCATATACCAAGAAAAGAGGCAGTTTTGGTTAATTGATATTTGGACGGATAATGTTTATCTAACATTATAGCCATACATTTGCTCTGATTTTTTAAATATAGTGATGTAACCACTAGTGTGTGTTTTTATTTGACGACAATGGTCTCTAAGAGAGGGCAATATGACAATTTCTGCAGATGGAGAGTTTGCCATATCTGTGGTAGCTATCTCTTTAACGTCTCTAACTGATTTGCAAATCACTGAGCAAAAAACACATTATGGCAATACTGGATTTTTATTTTTTATGACATTTTGCATCAATATGATGAAGTTCTTTTTATTTATTAGGTATTTAGTTTGCTGGATCAGCCAAAAGCAGTTTCCTTTCTGGTTATTTTATCCATTAACAATTTCTCAGATGGCTTTTATCCAGAAAAAGTTTCAGAATATTGTCATAAAAACTGCATATCCTGTGAAATGGGATATTATCTATATTGCCCACCCCTCATGGTCTTTCTATAAAAAAGTAATATTGTTGGTCAGATAAAGTCCAACAGAAGTTTAAAACACATTTTCTTACTCACCAATAGCAGTACGTAGCAATGGATTAATATAACTAGGTTTTTATATGTCCCTCTTGGAGATTTCTGCCATGCAATGGATGTAAATGGCGCAGTTTCTGTGTCTCACATTATTCGATTTTTATTTGTTAGAAGTGAGTTGAATAAGCTTTTACTGTTAAATGAAAATGTTAGAAGAGCTTTGTTGTCAAGGAACATTAGAAATTGTATGTGATCAGTGTGTTATCTTGATACTAAATGAGTTCAAAGGGAACTTGGTACAATATAGACCAAATTAATGAAGGTCTTAAAACTGATTCTGACACAAGGCCCCCTTTACAAACAGGGCCGTGAGATCAGGGTTTAATGCCAGACCCATCATGTATTGTACTTTAGTCGAGTAAACTTGCAAAAGAATTAGCAAATAACCAAATTCTTTAAAAAAAAACAACAACTGATACATAGTGAATGTGGGGCTTTTGGGGGGCCCAGGGGGTCCGGGGCTGTGGGGCAGTTGCCCTCTTTACAACTTAACCTGGGCAAATTCAACCAAAACTATCTGCAAGGCTAGAGCGGTGGCTCCCAAACTTTTTTGGTCTCATATGTCCATAAGTTTTGAGCACATTCCCTTCCAGACTGCTCAGATTGTTGAATTTAATTTGCATATAGATCCAAAAGGCGAGTATTTTATAAGAAAAATCATATTAATCATCATCTGACCCACAAGTAGGGAACCACTGCTCTAGAGTTAAACGGGAAAAGTTTTCTTTTATAAACTTTAAGTTAAACTTTTGGGGGGTTTATCCCTGATATGATGTCTCACCCCTGCCTCTGCCTCATGGTCACACTCCACCATAAGAAAAATAAAAACAGTACTGTCATGAGACGAGCAGGAACTATTTTCTCTCAGAGCTTCATGTACTCGTTCTTCAGTCTGCTCAGTCTCGTGCCGTGGCTGCGGATGATCAGAGACAGGAGCTCGTGCTTGTCCTTCAGTCCCAGAGAAATGTCCAACGTGTCCTTCAGGACGTCCCTCGTGTGCACTATCATGTTCAGAAAGTCGTCGTTGAGCCGGTGCTCCTCTTTCAGCTCGCTCTCCTGGCTCTGCTTGAACTTCACCTCGAGCTCCAGCAGAGATTTCTCCGAGTTCGTGAACGCCTCGCTTATCTGCGCCGTCTCCCTGCGCAAATACTTCCCGTAGCTGTCCTCCCCGTCCAGGTCGTACGTGATGCTCTTCCCGATCCCCTCCAGCACCCTGGCCGAGTCCTCGATCTGCCTCTTGATGATGGTGAAGTCGTCCCGTATGACGGCGTCCTGGTCCTCGTCGAGACCGCACTTTCGCTCGTCGGTCATCTTGAAGAGCATCTGGCACTTCTCCGGGTCGTCGTTGTCCTCGTAGTCTCCGTCCGGCACGAAGTAATGATGGAAAGTGCCGTTGGACATCTCCGGATGTAGCGGGCCGGTGAAAAACGCTCCACGCGTCGGCACTGACAACATCCAGGCGCACAGGAGCAAGTGAAGGAAAGCCATGATGCACCCAAGTTGTCCACCCCCCTCCAAAAAAAAAAACAAAAACACACACTCACAAAATGGGAAATATTAGTTTTTAAAAACGTTATTTCAAGTAAAGCCTGGTGGACTATTTAATTCCAATTCGGCGTAGAAAGAAAAACATTACAATCAATCAATAAACGTCCAGAAGTGCGCAGTTGGCTGAGGCTATGTTGTTGCTTTCACGTCCTCTTCAATATCCTCTTTGTCCAGAACAGATAAAAGTGGTGTGAAAATGTTTTTTTTTTTTTTTTTGTAAAACAGCCTCACTCCTCTTCCTTTAATCGAGCCTGCCAGCCTTCATCACTGTTTGGCGAACGGGAAAAGCAATGTATGAAAGTTTGTTTTTTAAGCGTGAAAAAGCGGCACACCCGACTTCACTTGGTGCCTCAAACGCAACATCTGGATGTCTCAAGTGCCGCGCTCCGGCTTTTGGCTAATAATACCTCAGTGCTACTCTCAAATTACAGCCCCTCCGTCACTTAAAAGGCTGCTTTCAGTGTGGAGGAGGCAGCCAGCGGGGCCAAGCTGTTGGAGCCTCACTCAAACCAGGAAAGACCGAGTTTGTGTTAATTCACATAACCGTGACAAGCTGGCGTGGATGGTTAAAAAAAAGTTATTAGACTGCTGAGACATACACGAGTGGCCACATAGTCCTATAAAAAAAAAAAACTTGAAACCAGTGGTGGGATATAAACATTTACCTCAAGTAGGCCTACTGTAGCTTACTTAAGTATAATTTAATTGTTTAATTTATTAAACAGCTTAACTTTATAGTTACTACTGAAGATTTAGAGAAGCCTATTAATACAAAATATCAGTAAATTATGATGTAATAGATTACTGGAAGATACACAGTAATCAGTTCAAATCCCCCATCTTTACCAGCTGCAACATGCTTACACATAATACATTACTATTTATAACCAAATAATATAATACACATTATTGTGAAATTGGCCATTCTGTGTAATTATGACTTTTACTTTGTCAATATAATGTAGTCAATATATAAATGATGCACACAAGCATCCTAAAAAATGACCATTAGGGGACTAATATAATGAATTACATTACAATATGCACAAGTACTCAACTACTGTACTATAAAAAGTACTTTTTGCTTCAGTATTTAAATCTTCTGTTTCTTTATCTACATTTATCGGTCAGATATTACTAGTCTCTTGACAGATGAAGTTTTTTCATACACTACATGAGGTGAGCTTGCAAAATATGATGCACTGTTATAGATGAAACTTCAGACTATAACAGGATATATCAAGTAGTTCAAATTGGTTCCAGCTCAACCTGCTACGACAGTAAAATGCTGCAGATTCAGGCATCAATAATAATGATCTGATAGTATAATGGGAGAACTATAAAAGGGATCATTCTGCTGTTGAGTACTTTTGCTTTTTATACTTATAGGGTACATTTTGCTGATCATACTTGTGTTTAAATAATATTTTCAATTCAGGTCGGGACAGCAGTATTGCCATTTTTTACTTAAGTAAAGAATTTGAATGCTTCTTCCACCGCTGCCTATAATATAGGCTCGTACAAAAGTATATCAGTCATTCACTGTTAGAAATATCTACTCTTTAAAGTGGAGATAAACCCGACTTTTGTCCATTTTACCCTGCACAGTATCCCTGTTGAAACATATCTAAGAATACAATTTGAATGGAATTTAAAATGTCTTTAATAGCTTTTTTTTATCTGCAACTGTTCAGCGTTTTATTTAACAATACGACAATGTGTGCAAGTCATTATCTAATACCAGGAATGAAGCATATGTCTGGCCAGTGCAGTTAGCAGCCCATAGACTGCAAAGTTGAATTCAGGAGCCATGAAAACTTTGTCACTGAGGAAGCTTCCACACTGACCACCTGTTTTTCAGTGGTCTGCTGGCATCAACTGACAAGTCCAGTTCAGTTCAAAGGCAATAAAAATACATGTAATGGTCACCTGTTGAGTAATGAGAGCGGAAAACCTTTGTTACAGCTTAGACCTATAATCTGCCAAGATCTTTTACTATACATACGCTGATAATAACTGTACTTACTCTGGAAATAAAAGACATGTTGTGAAATATATTCCTGGAACAGTATGGGAGCAGTGTTTAAAGAGGAAGGCACATTTTAATATGGTGATCCAAGAAATGCCATTCAAATGTAATGATGCACTTTTTTTCCAGGAGGCTTAAGGGCAATCCCCCAAGGGTAAGTATAGTTGTTTTTAAATGTGATCTTATATCTCAAGAATTAACATGTTAAGAGTGATGTAATTAGCTAAACCCACAATTCCACTCAATGTGTGCATATCTTTCCAGTGGAAACAGCAGACGTTACACGCCATCACCCACCTCTGAGTCTTGCACTCATTTTTCCACTGCATGAGTGATTATTCAGGGTTGTGACCTGCATAAATTAATCTTGAGCAGAACAAGTTTTAAGTGGTGAACTCATTGTTAAAAGTAGGTTTATATATCCAATTTATTCAGAAAATAGAATACCTTATTATAATACAAAAACAGAAATTGGATGACTGTGTTACATAAGCCTTACATAAACCAAGGTCTGCAATGTGCATCAGTCTGATTTATGATGTGGAGAAATACTTCACTGCTCATCACATCTGTATCTCACCTCAGTGATAACACTGAGAAATTGAAAGGACATAATTTGATGTCTGTCACCAAGTTCTTGTCTCAGTGTCATTGCTGCTTCTGAAAGATTTCACAATTACGAATGGTATCCTCTACTTCGGCAGTAATAAGATGCACTGGCATGTGTGCAAGTGCAGTTTTATTATAAACCTGCAGCGCTAACTCCACTAAAAAAGGGAATATGCTGTCAGAGAGCAGAGTGGCAGCCTGGAGCAGCAGAACAGTGGCTGTCCTGTGACATTATGCTGCCGAGCGAATTTCAATGTGGTGTCAAAGAGAAAAAAAAGTAAGACAATGAAGTCATGTTGGGTTTAGGGTGTGTCACTATGTTTTGTTTAGGCTTTTGTGGCACTGTTACATTTACATTAAGTCATTTGGAAGAGGAGAACTCCGTCTACTCACATAGGACAGTCATTAACAAAAAAAAAAAAAAAAAAAAGTTGTTACTGACCTCCCTCTTTTTCCACTAAAGCTGGAACGCAAAACACAATCCAGACATTTTATTTCTCTCACTCGTTCTCTGCTGTGTGAGCTGCTGAGGCGTCTGTTTGTATCCTCCCAGTCTGTATATTGGATGAAATTTGTATTTAACAATACAATACCAACATTTAACAACCTAATTTGCGATAAAGTGCGTCCAACTTTGAGCGTAATTGACCAAGTTGGGATTAGATTCCAGTTTGGCAAACCTCTGCTTCCCAAACTGAGCTTGACTCAAAGTGATTCAGCAATCTGGCTCAAAGAGTTTTTCCTGTGATTGCCAAAAAGGGTTTATTTATGTTCCATGTTTGGGACCAGACTAAGAGTGACTTCTGCACTGAACTGTATTATGTTAATAGAAACCTTGTTACTGGGTTCATATGAGACAGCATGATCATTAATGGATCCACTTACTGTCACAGCTCTGGTAAGTGTTGTGTCGCAAAGCAGAGCACAAAAGTAGAGTAGGCAAAAATTAAAGTGGGGTTTATTTGGTCTATTTTCAGGACAGAAGACGGCAGTCAGCAAAGGTAAACGAGACCAAATGGGAGCAGGCAGGCGGATAAAACAGGCAGAGATCAAAACTTAACAAACAAGCAGGAAGGACATGGAAGGCTGGCTGAAGCACAATGGCATACATTGAGCAATCAGGTATAGAGCTAGTGTTTATGGACAGGTATACTAGGTGCCTGATTACGGGGAATAAGGAACAGGTGTGCTGGCAGGTGATGACTGTGGAATGGGGGTAAACAACTGAGGCCTACTGCTGGTCAGAAAGGGAACAACAGGACTGGTTAGAGCGGACAGGCATGCTATTATTATTATTTGGCATATTTCTATTATTATTATTGTTATTGTTACAATTGTAGTTGCTGTGCATCTCTATGTCTCTCTCTTAATCTCCCCCTCTCTCTCTAAACCAAACAACTGGTCGAAAAAAGGACGTTTTTCCTTGCCACTGTCGCCAAGTGCTTGCTCATGGTGGGAATTGTTTGGTCTCTGTAAATAAATGTACAAGGAGTATGGTCTGGCTCTAAATGAAAAGTGTAATAATGTCACAGTTTCCCAAAAGATACACAATCCAAGACTTTAAACTGTTTAAATCTGTTTATTGTGACTCACCAACTAGCTGTACAGTCACTTGCAGCCTAACTTCCTGTAACTGACTGCCTAACTGAAAATAACATTTGGTGCTACACAAATAAAACAAAACTGAACTGTATTTAAAATTGTGTGAACATAACAAAATCCACATCAATGATTTGTGCACTGTACTACCATCTGATACAATGGTCCAGCAGAGAGGTCACAAACAATGGCCTCCAAAGTACTGTAGACTGACTTGCTTTTAAATATGCGTTTGCATGGTGGCTGCCTCATGAGTCCGTCTGGACGGACTATTGTGCACATCCTCAGAAATGAACACGATGGAAAACTGTGGTTGAACAGCAAGTATATGTCAGGCTTTACAGTTGAATCAACACCTTTTTGACACAGTGTCAACTGAACTTGGGCATTATAAACTTCACAAAAATGATATTTACATTGCGAACAATGTTGGGTTCTTCTTACCAGTCCGGGCTAGAGTCCTGGGTCCCTGGTTAAAATACAATCTATTCCAATATTAAGTATGATTTTACTGATTCTTGTACATGAAATAGAGAAATCAGTTTCAACAAATGAATCGCATCAATCTGTTTTATCTGAAGGTTGTGATAATTTTTTTATCTCCAGAATCTCTGTCGTAGCATTGTGGCACACTTAAATGAAAAGAATCATGTTGTAGGTTGAGCCATATGACACATTACTATACATAAACAATATATAATTGTATATATATATATATATATATATATATATATATATATAAACTTAGCACAAAAAGTAACAAAATTTGTGTTTGGTAGATTATTTCTCTGTGGTAACAATGCTTTTTGGCAATAAATCTTATACGTTGGAAAGCCTGTTTAGTTCCCTTTCAAATGGTGCCCCATGTGTAAGGAACATGCACTTGTTGGATGAGCAGCAGAGCTGAGTATGTGGGTTGCGCCCATGAAAAATTTGCCAAATCTTTTCTGCCAATGCCAAACAGGTTATTTGATGTTGCTATTGACACTTGCTTTGAGCTTCTGGTACCCCCAGGTGCTGCCAATCTGGTGCCTGATTGGCATCTGATTGGGCAACTAATGGAGCAATAGGGCAACTTCAAGCTGGTGTTCCACAAAACCAAGTTGCAGCATTATTTGGAGTGAGCCCTAGTACCATCTCCAAACTGAAGGCCAAGTTCCATATAATG